CCTCAAAAAAAAAAAAAAAAAAAAAAAAAAAAAAAAAAAAAAAAAAGAAGAAATAATTAAAAAGGGATCTGGATCTATGAAGAATTATAGCTATATAAGGAGTTAAGAATATCATAAAAGTATCTAGTCTTTTGTTGTTAAGAAAATGCGGAAGACATTCTGTCTTGAATTTAAAAACGTATTTAAAGTATAACAGTATAGTGAATAACAATTGATAGGTTTTTATACTCTTAAACGTTAATGTCATATTGCTATGGTGAATTCAGATGTAAGCATATTTATACTTTTAAATGAATTAAAAGAAAATAATAACTAAATTATATGAACGAGATGCAACAAGGAACTGTTAGAAATATCAGTATAAAAAGATTCAGTGCTCTTCCCTAATTGCTAGAAAATTGTACAGTACGAGTTCTAAATCGCAATCGGTAGTGTCACAATAATTCCACTTGCATCCCAACATTCACCCTTTGTAGTAATATGATCATTTATGCGATCAATATATCTGTGTTTCAATGCACTGATATATCTTTCAGTCATCCAGCATTGCACTCATCCCATATTATCAAATATGTCTCTCTTTTGTATTAACAATTATTTATTTATAACAGTGGTCTGATATGCTTTCCTCTCTACTGTTTACTAGAAAAAAAGAAAGAATGTTCACATACGTCTCTTTGTATCACTTGTGTACATTTATACACAGCTGGAAATAGTTCTTTTTTTTTTCAACACTTGTGCATTATTAATCAAGGCATACCATGAAAAATAGCAGTAAGTACACGATACCGCTAGTAACAGTAAATAAATCCTATGTAACTAAAAAGCATTAACTTCAATCTCTCAGTTTCAATGTGTAGTCAATTTTTCGTTTACGATCACTATTAACTCCGTCGATATTTAATGTATGGACAAAATGTATTACTGAACTGTTTTTATAGAGTATAATACTAGTTTTCTCCTTGATTTTTCAATGTATGGAAGTCTCTTGAGTATCAGTCCTTTAATGTAGCATCATTAAATAGATCAACAAGTATTACATTCAAATGTCGCATTTGGAAACACCTTGTATTAGCTGGCTTGCCATTTAAATTTACTACGCATAATCCACTTTTGGCCGGCGTTATATGGATCACAAGGTGCTAAGACAGGTTGTATTGCGTCATTCGAACGAGGTATTGACAAGCAGTGTCCTGTATTAGTGTGTTTAATCATCTTTGTCTATAAATATAAATATGTATATTAAAATTTTCAATATATTTATACTTATTAAAATTAATATCATATAAATATAAATATATTTCATTAAAATACTTTTACTTGATAAAAATTACCTCTTCGTTATATACCCATGCTTGATTTCCACCCATACCATGACATCGTACTATTTTGACAGGACCTTGGGGACTAGCTGCATCAAGGCACATATCATCAGACATAATTTGCTGTCGTTTAGTATAAGCAAACACCTAATTATAATAAAGAATTACATATTGTAAATCTTGAAAAATTTACTATTTAACATGAATTAGGCATATTTATTAACCTGATTACCACCCAATCCATGACAATAACTAATTCCAACATTTTCACTTGCTCTCCTACCCATAGTGTCCAAACAAGATTGTGTTTCAACATTTTGTACATCACCCAAATAATAATAATCTAGTGGCATAGGAGATTCAGGATAAATATTTTCCAAATACCATCTAAAGCTTTTACATTTAAGACGTTCCCTTAACTTAATTCTTTCAGATACGTCTCCAACAGCTACATTTCGAGCTCCTATAAATAAAATAATCAATGAAATAATCTTAATTTGTATTTAAGACTTTTATAATATAGTAATTAGTGCTTGTATGTATAAATGTCCACTGAAAGAAGGATGTGTCAAAAGTATGTGCTAAAATAAAGATATTGGCATGTGTGGTGTACTGATGCTCTATGCTTGCTGTTGGAAATATTTGTGCTATTGTACATCAGTTTTCCTTAATATGTTCAATTTAGAATGAGAAGTCTGTATCTCTTTCAAGATAACGTGTAAGAAAACTTTAGGTTCAATAGAGTATCTTCTTCATAATGATTTTGCTTTTTCTTATAAGTCTCTTTCTTGAAACTATATCCATTATACATAGTATTTTCTTGTTTTAAAGATGGTCGAAACAAAAGAATTCTTCCATTAGTTGCCTAATATTAACGGGTATCTGATATATGCACATGTAGCTGGTATCCAACTGCACTGAAGCTTGTAGTTATATGCAACTTATAAAAGCATACCAATCACCCAAGAGAAAAAATATGCGTGATAAAGTAAGCCAAAAAAGAATAGGTGAAGGAGTTTAAGAAGTTAGCGATATTGCAGTCTATTCTTTTTCCAGAAATGCTGGTGTTAGTGCTACCTGGATTAATGTTGTAATAGAAGTACTTCCATTGGTCCAACCAGACCTCTGCGAGTCGCGCATTGTTGTGGTTCACTATCTTGCTGGTACCACCAGGGAATGTATACGGTGTTGACTTACGGAATACATGACCGACGTGCGAGCACGTTACGATCTCCAATGTCCCACCACACATCCATATCTAACCAACTCAGTTCTGTTAGTATGTTAGCAATTACAAATGGATAGTTTATAACAAGAAATAAAAGGAGCTAATATATTAAGTTCTATCGGATAGACGCTCGTTCTCCTCTCTGGTACCTATAATATTGTTTATAAAATGTATCAACAAAAAAGCAAGCAAACTCATTTTGTTAGTCGGCTGGATGGATGAGTGGTTAAGACTATACCAAAGTATATTCAAATGCAAAGAAATCAACTGAATTCCTGCAAATTAAGTCTCATGGCTAAATGTAACTAAAGTACAAGAATACACATATGTCTCTCTCTCTCTCTCTCTCTCTCTCTCTCTCTCTCTCTCTCTCTCTCTCTCTCTCCCTCTCTCCCATTCACTTACTCATGCTCCCTCCTTCTCTAGAAAAAACGTATCTAGATAAAAATATATGATAATAATTACGATACATTTATGCATAGACATACATGTTAATGTAAAATTTTATAGTAGATGCAAAAAGATAATTTGGTTAATATCACACTAATAAACACGCCTAAGATTAATTTTAAAATGAAATGTAAATAATTTACATAGCTATGGGTGTTAATATTTTTAACATATAGAGTGTTATGCGTGTTACTAACTATGAAAATATTTGCGAGACGTTTTAAATACTAGAATAAATCGTACGTATTAAAATATGTATAGCGAGAATAAAAGGGAGCAGAATTGTATTTTAAAATACAAATAATTATTCTTTTACATACTAAATAAAAGTGTATGCTAATATAATCATTTATACCAATAATATTGTGGCATTTGTTGTATCAGATACCCGTCAAACACCTGTAGATGATCACAATCCTACGTTTAAATTAAATTATACATTCTAACAGTATGTCAACGTGTCTTATATTAAGTTTATTACATAACAATAAACATCAAACTCGTAACTGTGTTTACCTCTTTCTATATTTATTGTCATAAATTTACTTTTTCGTCAAAAATAAAAAAAAGAAAAAAAATTAAAAGAAGGAAAAAGGACGTACATTCCTCTATAGTAACACTAAGAGATTATTAAATTTAATTGGTTATCGAATAATTAATATTACTAATCGGTGTACTTTAATTAAAAACAAAGTATACAAATGAAATGATACACGCTGTTATCTAACCTGGGTTCATGGCATAGTAAAAATCTCTCCACTCATCCATCCAGACTTCGGCCACCCTAGCGGCATTGTGTAGGACTACTTTGCTGACACCACCAGGGAATGTATACGGACTCTTGTCTCGGAACACATGACCAACATGTGAACATGGACTGATTTCTAACGTCCCACCGCATTGCCACACCTACAAGGTACTTATGACTTCACAAATGAAGATGAAAGTATCCATAGCTAAACCCTTTATATATTTGGAATCATAAACATAAACATTCCACTTGATTATCCGCAAATAAATCAAATGTCTCAAATAGAAAACTACCGATTATTTCACGCTAGAACTTTTAAGGAAGCCTTGAATTTCTCAAAACTCTGATGTTAATTATAAACTCAAGTTCTACATCACGACATACAAAGGATTCAACAAGCAACTACAAATGGATACAGATAAAAGAAAGTTTCCATAGAAATAATAGCATTAGAGATGAGCAATCAATCAGCTGTAAAAGCAAATAAAAAAAATTTATACACAAGTCTCCTCTTTTAATTTCAAAATGATAGATATGAATTTCCTCTGGGAATCACCTGTGAACTTTTCAGGCAGCATAATCTGTGTAAAAAAAATCTAAATGGCACATGTATATATTCCAAGGCTAGTATTCTTTATTTACTCGCGTTTTGTAATTTCATTTTCATTAAATAATCCGATCAGATAAAGTAAATACTGTCATCGATCAATACTTACCCGGAAGCTCATTTCGAGGTTTTCACCGCCCCAAATATCCATGCCTCCGTCGTACGCTCCCAATTCGTAAAAATATTCTTTATCAATAGAAAATAGCCCACCGGCCATCGTGGGTGTTCTCAGAGGAGCTGTTCTATCTCCCAATCTTCTGTCCATTTCTCTTTGTGCCACTCTATACCTTAAAAGTTTAAAAGAACTTTGCATTAGCGAATCGACTGAAATAATACTTTATTGTAAAATAAATATACTCTCTTATTTCGAAAGTATTAATGAAATTTATAATTAATCCCTTCGAAACAGATAACTCGTTGCATACATTTCGGAAAATTTTTATGGATTATGGATATTAATCGGTATTCTAAAATCGACAGGGAAAACATACTAGGGTAGAATAATAGAAAATAAAGCGTTGGGATTAAAATCGATATTAGGTTAAATTAAAGTAACAAGTGGAAGACCTGAATGAAAGGGATCAGGACTTTAAACTATACCGATTCTTAGGAATCTCATCCTAGATGGTTCTTGGTAAAAACCCAGCCTCGAATGGATTAATCTCATGGAATGTAAAGCTGATTCAGCTGTTCTTACCATCTAAAATTCAGTTTCCAATTGAAACCACCCCAAGTCATATCACTGGCTGGAATATAATCAAAGGTATCGTCGCTAATCACATCAATGATGGGGCAGACCACGGTGGTTCTGTCTTCAGCAATTCTGGCTAGCAAAGGTTCTAGCCAACCTTCCGTGCATTCGCAATGGGCGTCCAGGAAGGTTATAACTTGTCCTTTCACGTGTTTCGCTCCAAGCAACCTAGCTCTGATTAAACCCGATCTCTTCTCAGTACGGTACACATACGTTGGGACTGGTAGCGTTTTTACGTAGTCCTCCAAGTCTGCCTTCAAGTGATCTGTAGATCGAGTGGATCGTATTAGTAAAAAGACGAGGGAAGTGAAAGCGATATTAACCAGGTTACAATGGATTTTCAACTAAATTCGTTAAACAATAAAATGTCCTTACAGTAATACAAACTGGGTGACTTGGTGCATCGATAGAAGATTCACGCAATTACAAAGTTAGGAGTTATTCTACCGTATTAACTAAAACAACCCGTACAGGATTAATTCAGAGTTGCACGTACTTTCATTTGGAAAGCACACAAACATTACAACAGAAGCTTATTCAAAACCACACCCAGTTATTCAGACCGCTCCCCAGGCCAGACCAACCCAGTTCCTTTACTACCGACATCCTCAAACTCACTTTGCTCGCTCTTATCGTCCACCAATATGATCTCCTTGAGCAGTGTGCGCGGAGACCGATTGATGACCGACCAAACTGTCCTCAGCAGCGTGCTCCACGCCTCATTATGGAACACTATCACGATGCTGGTGTTCGGCAAGTACTTGCTATACTTTTTCGTCTTGCAGCCTTCCAATCGGATATCCCTCAGGGAACGATTTAGTGCGATCATATCGCTGGCCATCAGATTGAACTGATTCAGCTTGAACAGTTCCTGCTGCTTAGCCTCGTCCTCTGGTGAAATGTGCACCGCCGTACCCATCTCACCTGGCATCCCCTTGTTCTCTCGAACTACCTTAGCCGGCCTCCATAGGTACAGCTCTGACTGCTTGTACCTTCTCTTGTTTAGTGGACCCGCCGACTGACTTGGTTCATCCCCCTTCAACGCGGTCTTCGAATCGGGCAAACTCTCCTCTGTGAATACCTGCTGTTGCTTGTTGTTCGTCGTGCAACCCCATCCGGACCCTCCGATGCAGTCCGAATAAAGCATTAATACCATCACGTCCACGAGGAACCATGCCAGGGACGTGAGCAGTATCACTTGACAGGTGTGAATGCGAATTTTCGAGCGGAACATGTTGTGACGGGGCCGGTCGTCTGGTATCCTGAGCTCATCACCCGATCCTTCGCGGTTGGAGGTGCGACGAGCTTCCTGTCCGACCAGGCGGTTCTCTTCAACGATCGTTCGCTACCGAGTCTAAAGGCAGATCAGACGCACTGTGCACGTGGTCCACTGAATTACATGACTATGCTGGCTGAGGGTTTCGTGATCTGTAAAAAGAACAGGATTTATTTACACGGGTACCAAGGTGGTCAATGAAAGCACAGTTACTTATTATTAATTGGAATTTATTTTCTGAGGGTGGCATTTCGAATAACCGGTATTCTTGGTTATTCTTGAACATTTTCGCTCCTTTGATCGGAAGTTTTTAAATAACTGTAACTTACAGGTCACGCTAATTTTGGACATCGCACGTAAGATTGTCTACCTTTCGACGCCGACCGAAACCAAGTTCCATTTGAAACTCCTATTTTCGTATCGAGTAGAATCCCCAAGATATTAGCTCCCTCCGTAACCTTACGTTTATCTGTATATAGAACACAACGTCGCTGTAGAACGTCAATTTCGTATTTTATATTTCATAAACGAGGAATCACGTTTAAACACGAGGAAGCTAAATCCCGTCCTTTAGTCTGCTTGATTCGAGCTAATTTTCTTGGTTAATTCCAAGCAGTCTGGTCTTGTACGAATTAGAATACCTTCATTGGCGTTATCAGAATCTCATGACACAATGCATATCGTCTTCACCGCTAACTTTCCATCCAACAAACCACCAAACATAAACGAACTTCGACCCCCGCGAGACTACCCCTCGAACTTAACCCTCTAAACAAGCTTGAAATTTCGAAGTCGAACAGCCTCCTGTAAATATTTCGATATAGCAAATAAATAATTCGTTTCCCGTGCATATTTGTTCTCAGCTGTTCGCTAAGCCAGTTAAGTCGACTGTCTCGACTGGTGCAAAAGTTATTGCGAGGCACAATCGAACCGGAAGTCACGCGAGACCGTTTATTTTATCACGTGCATAATACATAGGGGCCATTTACCATTATCGATTCGTTTCTTTGCTCATACGTGCAGGTATCCCTCCAGTAACACGTTTAATTCCAGTTCTTTTTACCAAGTTCCTGTACTTCGAAAGAACAATTGCCATATCGCACGGCGAGCTATTGTAATTTTTCACCATGACGTTCGATTTTTCCCTTGATACAAAAATACAATGCCCGTTTGATAACTGGACACTTGGTATTATTAAAGGATCGTGTTATTCGAAATATATCCCTAGATTACTAGTTACTTTACAATTTCGTAAAGATGGCGTAATTTACACGCGCGATTACTCCGCAATTAAGCAGATTTATTTTACCATTGTATTTCACCATGCGATTCGAGAACCATCTCATCTGAGTTTCTTCACGGACTATACGATTTATCATCCTAATTTAAGTCCCGTACACCTAACTCGTCCAAGGTCGTTACAAATAGATTACGATCTTCCATCTCGTCATCGACGTCTGCACGAAAATCGAAATACCATGCAACTTCATCTCCACTTTTCACGTTTCCTGAGACCCCGTGGCAAATGAAGCGCCGCGGCCATTTTTCACGCGACCGTCCAACGCTAGAGGACGCCTTTACACGTTGCAGAAGGAGAAAACGCAGTTCTTTGATAACTATAAGCGCATACTGTGCGCATTCTTGCGTTTCACGTCTGCAAATCGCATGATATTCTCGTCCGCGATTATCGTGCCGGATGAACAGGCAGAAAAAGAGGCAGAATGGTCGTAGGATGCGATTTAGAGCACATGTGGAACAAAGACAGCCCCTGTGTCGCATTTTATGCGTTTTGATCGACTCCGGATCGAGACACTGTTGCACAGGTCCTTTCGTGGTTGTGAAAATCGACCACGAGATGGGTAAAAGCTGAACGAATGGGGTGGGGGTTATCTTCTTGTCCGTCGAGGTACAGTCTAATCTCGGTAACTCTAAAACCTCCGGGTTATAGAGGTCTTATCGAAATTTTAGAATAAAACCTATTTAATCGTACAATCATCGTTTCTGATTTATATTGGGGAACAGCTAAATATCCTACGTTCTTTTCATTGCGAAACTGCGAAAGAAAGAGAAGAAAGAAAAGAGAAAGACGATATGTAAATTATAATAATTTAATTTATTATAAATTTAAATTTAGATATGTAGATATAGACCTGGTTAGGGTTGAACTAAAGACCATCTTCTGCGGTTCTTAACTGATGGTCTGGTCGTGATGCTTTTCTCGTCTTCTTGGCTTTTAGGAGACTCTTTTGATTGCTATTTCGGTGGTTTGATAAGTATTGCATGTCCACTGATTGGCCAGTGCGAAATGCAGGTGGCGGGTGCGCGTCTTCCGATTGGTTATTAATAATACAAGGGGGGTGTGCGTCAGCCTCGACGTCCCCCGGTGGCGGTGGATGATCAAACAATTTGGGACTCATTGTCTTAAGAATAATTTACCCACCCTTGCCAAGAATCACCCAAATTGTGACATCGAGTGTGCACGAGTCGAAGGCCCCCGGCGATAAGGACAGTAGTCTTCCACGAAGACTTGGAAGGTTCGGTCCTAGGGCCCCAACAATAATTATAAAGAATGACGGTTATTTCTTTTTACCCATAATACCAATAAACCCGATTTATTATTGTAGCGGAAGGATAAGGTAATAGGGCTAGTCGTTCAGAAGACTTTCTTCGTCAACGGTTTGTATTATTCTGACGATCCTTCGGCTCAAGGTTTGACACCCCTCGACCGATCGTCTCGCCATCGACGAGTTCGAGTGTTTTAGGCGTAAACAGTCGGAGACGCTGCCTGTTGCTTACATTATTCTCCTCCGATCGTCTCGCCATCGACGAGTTCGAGTGTTTTAGGCGTAAACAGTCGGAGACGCTGCCTGTCGTTTACATTATTCTCCTTTTTTAAACAAATATATCAGTGATGAGTATTGTTGGATGACCAACGGTCCCCGTTGACTCTTACTTAGTCACTGAAAGCACCCAACTGATAAAGCAGGTCAAAGTCAGAATTCTAAACATCTTACACATTTCATACAAGCACCTCTGAAAATTGTACGAAGGCAGTTCTTATTCTTCTCAGCTGATACATAGTTATTGTATTTTCCGACATAGTCTCGTTGCAGAACTCGTATTGTATATAGAAGCATTCCGAAATATACTACAAAAGATTAACCGGTTCATAACGTTCTTAGTCCTGATTCCAACAGCATTATCATTCATAATCCACATTTTGGATGTACTTAATTAGTCTGTTCATCATTTTCACGCTCAATTGATCAGTTCCTTATCGAAATGTCGAATGTATTCGAAAATCGTTCTTGCATTATCTTCATAATTCGCTGTTCTTCATCGGGACATAGGATGAACCGGATAATTACTTTCCCGGTATTTTTCGTAGTCAGTTGGTGATTTCTCAGCGAAATGTAGGACGCGACAGACATCGGCCGCATTCGGAATAATTTTTCCATTATTTCCATAACCGAGTGGCCAATCTTCATCGGAATATCGGACGCAATAAACGTTAGTTTCATTCGATAATTATTTTTCCATTACTTCCGCAAACAATTGACCATTCCTCATCGAAATGTCGGACAAATTCAATAATCATTTTGTCACCACTACCAATTGGCTATTCCTCGTCGGAACGCTGGACCCACCGTGCTAGCTAGCGTGTGCAACGAATAATCGGCCATGTCGTATATAATGTACCACGGTCATGATAATTAACCTGCATTTTGTACTCCAGAGAAACGCGTATCAAAAATGACGCTAGCGGATATTGCGAATATTATCGGTGTTAATCAACGATATCGCGCGATTCGCAGATATTCCTCTGCTTTTTTAAAATGAAAACGATGTAGGAACGCAGCGAGCTGATTACGAGCGCCGAGTAATTTACAGAAACTCGTTCCAGAAACGATTCTAGACGCCGGATTGGTAATTTCATCGAAACGGACTAAATTAACGATACCGTGTGATTTATGGATATCACGAGATTGCGCGACTCAGAAAAATTCGCTTCAGAAATCATCTCCACGGGAGATCGTTAATTTTATCGGGGGCGCGGTGAATTAATTGACAGTGGCTTGTGATTTATAGACATCGGGTTTCAAAAATTCGACGTAGCGTAAGAACGGGGAGTGCAGATTGTGCAACGTGGAAAAATTCCATTTGAAAATAATCCCAGCGAGAGGAGGAGATCGTTAACCCATTTGATAATTAAACCTCGTATATCTGCGATGATCTCGAAAGATACCCCGATTCGATGCTTTATCTGTTCACTTTTAATATTACTCTAACATTGTCCTTTTAATCGTAGCAAATCCGGTGACATTTTATTTTTAATACAGTAACTTCCATCTTTATCGCGTAAGGCTATATTTCAAAGTATCATTTAATATAAAGCTATATTTTCAAATAAAGTAGAGAAAAATGTCAAGGTATCGTTGTTTTTAATTTAATTTCCCCTATGAATTTTTTAACGCAAATGGACGCAATTTCGTTTGGATAAATTAATCAAATTTTTAATTCGACAAATGTCTTTAAAAATGAACATACTCGTACGATACCGAAGGACGAACCTTTTACATTTTCTACCATTTAAATGCTAAGCTATTAAAGGGGATGCTGAAGAAATTCGACTGTCTTCGAGAAGGCAGAAATTTCGCAGAAATAAAATCGATGATCCGAGAGTATCGTGCGAATTGGATAGATATTTTCATCGATCGATGGTACAAGCCTTTCCAAGTCTCACGCTGTTGCTCTATACCTGGTTCCTGATCTCAGCAGCGAGCAAAGAATCCCCCGTTTCCAAGTGTTACGAAGTAGGATAAAAAGATGCGGCAGGAAGAGTGTTAATTATACAAGGAATAATTGGAATTCGTAACAGGATTGATGTAATCGAATTTGTTTTAACGGGAATGCTGTTGCATTTGATCTACAGTTAAGCATCTAGGGAAACGATCCCATGGTATTAATCTGAAGTGGATGATCTTTCCATGACGCTCCTTTCAAACGTGCAACTCGACGGCAATATCCTGTTTCCTAACTTATGAACCGTTTCACGAGCGAGTCACTTCCCTACTTTTATTTCTCTCTAAATTTATTTACACGGGAGAAGATAGAATTCTAAAAATCCCGTATGAAGCGATAAACTTGGAAG